GCTTCAGTTTCACTTTTAGTTTCACTCTTTTGCTTTGTTACTGACGAGAGGCTGCAGGAGTCATGGGTGGGGGGTGGGGAGGTGTGCTCCGTGATGAGGAAGCTCGGCTTAAAGACACATCCCAGGGGCGTTTCTGGTCCCCACCTGTCGTTTTGCTCCTCAGCATGGCTGCCTAAAAATGCTGCAGGATTTCTCAGACATACATTAATGAGTCAAAGCAAGGCTTTGGGCATGTTTTTATGAGAGTAAAACATTATAACATGATACAAAACTCAAAAAAGTAGATTTTACATGATATTGCCCCTTTAAAATAAAGCATGTTTCTGCTAAAGCCAATATTGGGATGTTTATGTGTTATTTTGGATTTTAAGAGGAAATTCACAGAATGGGGAAAATAATTTAGCAAAAAAAAAAGCTATACATTTGTTGCAAAACTTTAAAATTATTTTGAATTTAAATTTTCCAAGCTGAGARGTGCAACGAAATGGAAATTATTTTTGCTTTTACCACTAGAGTTTTTTTTATTCCTTTTAAACAGCTATGGACAAGATTTTAAGGGGGCACCCGTTATGCAACTTTCTAAATCTCTCTGCCAATTTACAGACATTCACATAACAAATAAATAGTTTTGTCTTTTATATATTATTTTATCTTAACAAATCAGTTCATCCAATTAAAATAATTAACAACATAAGAAAATGCCTCCTGGTAAAATCTACTCAAAACTTTGCATTTTCCAGCCATTTGAAAAGCATTTCATTAAATTCTTGGGATTAATAAAACATTATAAAATCAGTATTTTATGAAGGTAGAACACTGAAAACCAGACTTTATCTTTATTTTGTTTTCTATTTACACACTGAGCACCCTGACTGCGTCATATGATACTTTTAAAACAAAACATCCTCTGCACCTTTTAACACAAAGCAGCTGGAAAACCCACAGAACTAGTTACAATCATAAACTTGACCAGTGATTATTCTACAGACTGAATCAACTGAAATACTGATACTGAAAATATTAAGTCATGCCCCATTTGTGGAGCCCCCTAGATGGATGGCACCCTTAGTATTTGCCTATTCTGCCTATGCCACCTACCCTTTTTTTAAGCTTGTACACAATGTCATCAGGTATAAATTTCAAAATACTGATTGACTTCCTGACGTTGATTTAGTACTTTATATTTTAATGCATCAAAACCCATTTTTTAAAATTCCTTCCCTATATTATCATGATCACTCAAAGCTACTGGTTTCAGCTTATTTAGGAATATCACCAACATTAGTTTTTGTCATCTTAGAATACCGGATTTTCCTTTTTAAAGTTCATCATTAAGATGAAGATATCTAATGGTTTAAACTGAAAAGTCTGCATGTTGTCTCTATATTAAAAAGGCTACTTAAACAAACACAGTGTTAAACACCATACAAATGATCAAATATTGCAGGTTCAAGTTTCTCATTAGGAATTTTAGCCTAAATCAGTGATAAATGGTTAGCTAACCTTTTAAAACATAATTAATTAAGGATGATTCATACTTAATAAGCTATAAATGATCACATTTATTAATACTTTATCCATAATGGCTAGTTACTTCTGAAACCAACATACTTATTGTTTATTCATGCTTAATAACGCATGAAATAACTATTCTATATACTGTGATTTTGCATGTAAATGCTTGTACAAATGTACTCTCACACCACATGTTAGACATTTATTAATAGGTTAGACAACATTTGAATCCTGCAGTGCATTAAAGGGGCAATATCTTGTAAAATCAATGTTTTTGAGTTTTATATCATGTTATAATGTTATACTCTCATTAAAAAACATGCCCAAAGCCTTGCTTTGAGTCATTCATGCATGTTTGAGAAATCCTGCAGCGTTTTTAGGCAGCCATGCTGAGGAGCAAAACGACAGGTTGGGATCAGAAAATCCTTTGGGGACCAGAAACGCCTCTGGGACGTGTCTTTAAGCCGAACTTCCTCATGGCAGAGCCAACCCCCCATCCTCCCCACACATTCCGCC